CCCCCCCCCCCCTGAAAAGTAGAGCCTACCTGTACACTCCAACAGCTGATATAGTGTGTCCATGCTTGACTGCTTCAAGGCTCAAGAGAGGGTCAATGGACCTAAAGAGCAAGAGGATAAGACTCTGCGCATAAAAGACACTAGCGGTCTGCACCTCTACCGTGTACGCCCTAGTCACTCTTTCAGTGGTAGCGGAGCAGTGATCCTGGAAGACCCAGGTGAGCTCCTTTCCTAGGCATAGAATTGCTTGTGGGCAAACGGCCATGGATTGGATTGACGACTGGGAAGAGCCTGATGCGGATGTGGCTTATGAGCCAGCAGCCTATGTGAATAGGCATGTGAGAAGAGAACCAGCAGCGATAGCTATGACAACACAGGTCACTACAAAGGTGCCCCCATCTTATGATGGAAAGACTTCATGGTTTTCCTATGAGGATGCCATAGACGATTGGTGTGATATCACCGAGCTGGAAGAAGAGAAGAGAGGACCAGCCTTGAGAAACAGATTAGAAGGAGAAGCAGCAGTATACAAACGTGTATTAGACAGAGATTCATTGAAGGCTAATGAGCCACCAGGAGCAGGAGTAGATTACTTCAAACGAGTACTACGACCATATTTCGTGAAAGGATCAACCAATGTATTCCTATACAGGTTTATGCAATTCGTGCGATTCAATCGAGGATCAGCTGACATGATGAAATGGATGACAAGATTCCAGATTTTACTCCAAAGGCTTATGAGCAGTTGGATGGACATGTTAGAACCAGTCACTCAAGCACATCCCCAAGTCCTTGCTCAGATGCAGGCAGATGCAGCGTTGACTGGAGTAGCACCAACGGCAGAAAGGATTCAGGAAATCATGCAGAATGTCAATGGCAATATGAGAATTCTTCATCAGAACGAATTTCCTCTAGGAGAAAATCTGATTGCTTTACTCATGCTGTCACTTGCAGATTTGTCTCAGGACCAGCGAAACACTTTGACTTCTTTGATGACTCATCGTGGCAGGTACCTGCAGCAATACACTACAACAGAGCTGAGGACAGTTTTCATCGAGATGTTCTGCACGACAAAGACTTCAGTAGACAATCCATTGATGCAGCCGACAGGTGCTGGAGGTAGAAGATCATTTCTCGTACTAGACGAAGGAGAACTCGATGGTACATTTGGCTATTGGGCCGAAGATGAAGAAGATGGAACTGAAGGATTTTTAGATGCCCTGGACGATGTCTTTTGGGTATATGATGATCAAAACTTCTCATGGTTCCAAAGGAGATTCCAAGGAAGAAGAGCCAGAAAAGGCAAAGGAAAAGGTAGAAGGAAAGGAAAAGGAAAAGGAAGATCAGGCCGCAGATTCTTCAGACCTCGTGGGAAAGGAAAAGGAAAGAGACGAGGTAAAGGCCATTTTGCTGATGAGCAACAGACAACTTTTCCAGATGAATACCTTGAAGAGAATCCTTATGAGGACACTTGGGAGTCAAACCAAGGAGCATATGATGCCATTCTTGCCGAGGATATGAATGACTATCTTCAAGGAGAATATGATGATGCCAATGACTTTTGGCAACAGCTTGAAGAAGCATGGTTTTCCCACAAAGGAAAAGGAAAAGGCAAGAGAAAAGGCAAGAAAGGAAAAGGAAAAGATAAAGGAGATGGCAAACAAGATGCAAACTATGCAAATCAACAACAGCCACGTTCTTTACCTGCACCTTCAAGAACTTCACAAGCATCAGGAGGTCAACAATGTTTCTATGTACATTGTGTGACAGCAGCAGCTGAAGTCCATGACAGTGAGGTGGACTTGCTGTCAGGCATGATGACCTCATGCCAAGATGAAGCTGACTGCGTGGTCAACAATGGTGAGACGATCTTCGATGACATGAGTGCCCCTGTGAGGTACTCTTTGTCAAAGGAGATGCTCACAAAGGCTCCTGATGGCTTTGCGCTTATGAGCGCTGATGGCTTTGCGCTTATGAGCGCTGAGGAAGAAGTGAAGGAGATGCAGGCTATTTCATTTTTGACTGAGAATCGCTTCCCGCCAACTATTGCAATCCTGGACATTGGATGCACTAGAGCTATGGGATCAAGGCGAGCAGTCGACCATTTTTGCAACTATGTCGACAATCACCCAGATTGTGGATTATGGTACTCTTTTGAGTCTACCAAGAGCAAGTTTTACTTTGCCAATTCCCAGAAGGCTACTTGCTCTCAGAAACTGGTGATTTACATGTATGATCGTGCATGGACGATCCACCATACAGAGTTCGACATAGTGGAAGAAGGAGAAGTCCCTTTGCTTATGAGCTTGCCACAGATGAGGAACTTAGGCTTTGAACTCAGGCTGACACCTCAACATGCTTATCTGACATCGGTGCCTCTTGGTATCAAATTTTTGGAGTTGAAGGTTGCAGCCAGTACTCATCTTGTGTTGGACTTCCAAGATATTGCATGGTATCTGTCTGACGTGCGTTGGCAGACTCAGCGTGAGAAGAGTTTTTACTCTCACCTCACTCACTATGAATATGGCCATATTTCTGTTGAACACAATAGTGATGAAGGTGAAGCTGAGCATGCATATCCTGTGGTTGATTTCTGGGAAGTAGATGTTCACAAGAGAGAACTGATACGTCACCACAAGGATTACAGGAAAATTCTTTTCCCAGCAACTAAGTCCTGTCCTGTAGACACTGACTTGCTGGAAGACTTGCGACTGACAATCATCAAGAAGAAGAAAGGAGGAGAAGAAATCAAGAAGACAGATGATTGGCGCAAGGCAAAATGGAAGGACCTACAACTTGGCTATGAATGGCGTGGTAGAACAATTTTTAAATTTAAGCCAGATGCCAAAATTCCAGATCTAAAGATCAGGAAGGCTGGCATTGAGCACCGTGGCATTGGTGATCCCGATGCAGTGGTGCGCTCCTCCTCAGAGAAGGTTCCCATTGCAAAGGACAGGGAACCAGGCTTCTCATCAGAGAAGGAAGGTGCACCATCCAGTGCCGCGGAAAAGCCCGTGCCGCCAAAGTTTCGGTATACTTCCAAGGGTTTTGATCCATTTTGGAAAGGACACAAGTCAAAACCATCTGAGCCTCAGAATGATTTAAAGGGTGATGATCTTGAGGAGTATGCTCCCTCAGAACCACCTGAGAGGCCAGAAGGTGAACTTGTAGAAATTCCTAAAGCATCAAAAGGACCATCAAGTGATAAACATGAACCACTTGAACCAGGTGATGGCGCTCTTGAGCCTAGGCGGATTTCAATCCCATTACCTGGTAGTGAAGTTGTTGCAATGACACCGGCATATAGGAAAATGTTACAGAGACTGGAGGACAAGGTAGAGCTTTATAAGCTTCATGTGAAGCACTACCATATGAGTCCTACTCAGTTTCGTAGACGTGTTTCTATGTTGAAGCTTCCTGACTCTGTTTTAGAGAAGTATGAATCAGTTGTCAGGAACTGCCGTGTTTGTAACACTTCAGTGGCACCTCCGCCACGAGCCAGAGTCTCCGGTATTAGAGCTTCATGTTTTGGTGATGTTGTTTTTGCTGATCACTGTGAGGTTGAACTTCACAAGAACAAGTATATCATCTTACTTGTTCTTGATGGTGCCACAAATCTTCTCTGGGCTACGGCACAGAAAGACCTCATAGATCAAACCACCATCCAAGCATTGAGGCAATGGTCTGATGAGAACAACTGTGTTCCAAAGGCCATCGTAGGAGACGAAGCCTTTTTCACAGATGCTTTTGTTGAATACTACAGGTTCCATGGTATACAACAATGTCCTTGTGGGCCAAGAACTCCTTGGCCGAACCGAGCAGAGACAGCTGTACGTTTGTTCAAACGTATGTGGCATGTTATGAAGGTAGATCTGGATGACCCACGTTTTCGTGGTGTTACGGTCAGAGAAGTGGTCAAGAAAGTAGTGTGGGCAAGAAATTGTCAGTTGACTATCAGTGGATATTCACCAATAGAGATAGCAACTGGAAGACGTCCACCAGATCTTTTTGACCTTGAGACCGCAAGCCCTGAGCAATTGTCAGCTAATGCTGCCGCACAAGATCGTACAAATTTGGAACTACAACGTGTGGCTTTGAGAGCTCATCAAGAAGCACGACAAGCTCAGGACCTTCGAGCAGATCTTGCGAGAAGGACTATGCCAAGTGACGGTCCTTATTTCCAAGGAGAGAAGGTTTTTATTTGGACTCAGGATTCATCAAAGTTCAAGGATAAAGGACGTTGGGTTCGTGCCACAGTACTTGGACAAGAAGGAGCTATGGTCCAAGCCAACACTGGTAAGGCAGTGGTACGTGTGAATCAGTCGAAGGTTAGACGTGATCACGATGAGTGGCATGATGTTTCCATTCCGGCATTAGACGATGAGAATCCGGAGAACTTGCGTGAAGATCACGAACTGTATGTTGATGCCGAATTCGGAGAACAGTCCTTTTTCTTCTGTAATGATGATCATCCTGATGTTGTTGAGTTACTTCATGGAAACAGTGGATTATCTTGGTTCCTTTCAAAGAATGGTGTTAAAGTTGCATCTCCTATGGATTTCAAGGCAGGATACAACTTTTCCACTATGAAGGGTCAAGATGCTATTTGGCAGCAACTGGAGAGATTGCAGCCCCACTGTATAGTGATCAACAACCCTTCTCCCAAACAGAACAGAGCTTCTATTTGGTTGCTATGTT